ATTAATCCATTGCATCCTTGGTCTTCCCAATGGTCTCCTATCCTCCATAGTACCTCTTATCACATGCTTTACTATCTCTCTTTCACCTGTCTTTTGAATGTGGCCCAGCTATCTCAACCTTCTACTTGCCACTACCGCAATAGGTACCTATCTAGTTCTCTATGAAATTCCCTCAACGCCCTATTTTTTTATTCTCCACAAAACTTATCTTTTATTGGTCCAAAAAACGCTTCTTAATATTTTATTTTCAAAAGTATTAAGTCTTTATTGGGATTTTTTAGTGAAAGAACAAGTCTATAAACCGTATAAAACTTACGTACCTCATCACGCGTTTTCAGTCTTAAAAAATTAGTCTGGGGATGACTAGCTTCGCGTCAAAGACCCATTATCAAATCCACATCAAACTGGAGAGTCTATAATCCGACAGAGGTCTTCAACAAAATGTATATGCAGTATATACGAGTCGACACATAAAGCTCAAATTTACACATAGATACAAGCACATTTATATACATTTAAAAAGCTATTGGCCGGCCACATTCGTTCACATACTGGATAAACCGACACACTGACACAGTTTGTATGGCGGACACGATGGAACTATCCACAGTTCCATCATGTCCGACAAACAATAACTAATCGACACAGGAACTATGGATTTCATTACAATATTAGGCAGTTTTAGGTTAAATTCCCCCTCCCCTAAAACCGCCTTAGAAATATTGTGGACTAATCCATAGTTCCTGTGTCGGTTTGTCCTGTGCGTGAAAGAATGTGGCCGGCCTATAGCTTTTTAAATGTAAGTTAGGTACTCATATCCGTGTGAAAATTTGAACTTTGTGTCGACTCGTGTATATGTACGTTTTGATGAAGACTTCCGTTCCGTCGGATTATAAACTCTTCAATTTGATGTGGATTTGATAATGGGTCTTTGACCTGAAACTAGTCATCCCCAGACTATTTTCAAGACTGAAAACAGACAGAAGTACGTAAACTTTGTATTATTTTGTACACACAGTCTTGGTGGTAAGAATGTATAAATTTTATTAAGTCAAAACTTGATTTTTCTGCTGCTTTGACTCTTTTTTGCATTTCAACATCAAATTGACATTCAGCATGTCAAAAGAAACAAAAAACGTACTATAACATGTGACCTATCTCATTCCGTTTTCGGTCTATGTTTTTGTATTTGATTTTTACATAAACATTCATGACTCCTTAACTGTTTGAGCTAGGCCTATAACTTTGAAATTTTGTAAAAATGTTCCACTATGGTTGCAAATATGAATAAATTGAAAATAGTTTGTACCTAGATGGTGTGGAGAACTAATAGAGTTTATTAGGTCAACATGATTTTATTAATTTTCATTAGATACATTGGAGTGTAGTAAACAGTGTTAGCTTGAGAATTAACATTTTAATTTTTTTCAGCCAGATACATATATATCCAACTAGCTGTACCCACGGGCCTTGCCCCGTTTAACTTCACAAGTGAGCTTGTTCGCATGGCTCAATCACGTCCTGGTTGAAGTTCGTTCGCTATGTTCACTCACCTTTTGGTTGAAAATTAGCTGTTAATAAGCTAATGTTAATTAGCTAAATTAATGTTAATTAACTGTTAATTAGCTGTCAATCTTTTACATACATAAATGTAAAAGAAATAATAGTGCTGCACCCTGTTGGTAATCCTTGTAACTTTAATGCTATTGAACATTATAGAACAGAACCAACTTGTTTAATTGTTTAAACAGCTGTTAAGATTCATTAATTCCATTTCTCATAAGGTTAACATGGGAAACTCCAGAGCCACTGGGGCGGAGCCGATTGGACGGATCACGAAATTGATGGTGTATAAACCTATTCCATGAAATTCTACACGTATGTACCAAGTTTCGTGGCAATCGGTTCAGCGGTGTCTAAGTTTATCACTGCCAAATATATATACAAACATCCTCTTTTATACTTATAGATAATTTCTAGTACTGTAATTGTTTATTAATTAATGCTCTATGAATATTTTTTGTTCTTATTTCAGATAATAAAAACCTGCCGTTGGAATGGATCGAGTTGATGAGATTTACGCCTTTCATGCCATTCCCCATTGTCTTGGAACTTTTCAGTCAAACTTACATCATCCTCATGAAAATGTTTAATACATACCACAGAGCTTGCATTGGGTTCCCAATCTGTTCTAGAAATTGCACGAATCCACGCCCTACACAATTCAGGATTCTTCGGAAAGAAAATGTACTAGTAACTCCTTCATCTTTTACACTATTTCTATAATTTGATTTGCAACCAGGAACAACACATGCTCGAGGCATCTCAACATCACTGTATTACTTGTACTTCATAAATAGTGAATAACACGAATAAACATGGTTTCTAATTTACTTTGGTAACTTAATTTTACCCACTTCACTGGTGAAAATACCCAATATAACCCACTTAGCTCAGTGAAGAGTTAGGCCTATGTACCGGTATTTATCTATCTTATGGAAGGATTATTTTCAAAATACCTATATGAATAGACCAATTAAATAGATAAAATACAAATTTGACAGATATTAATGAATATTAAGTATACGATGATAAGCCTATAGTCCTGAGCAGTGTTGGGAATTAGCGCGCTACAAGTAGCGCGCTGTTTTTTTTGTAGTGTTAGCTGTAGCTATGCTTCTTTTCAAATTTTGTAGCTAGAGAAGTAGCGAGCTACTTTTTATAAGTAGTTGTAGCGGAATATTAGCTACTTTCCTCGCTACTTATATATTTCTTGAGCTATAGTGATTTTTATCACAACCTTACTCTTAACAACGTCTTTTGAACTAAAGTTTAAAAATAAATTAGACTTAACTAGGCCTACTTGTATGAAGCCAAAATCTAGACGCAGCTGTTTTATAATTTTTCTTTGCAGTTTTGCATAGATACTGAGGCCAAAGAGTATTGATTATGTTGATGTTAAAGACATTTTTCACTCTCATTCCTTTAATTCGCTACTCTATGGTCACTCTTATCAGACCTAACCGCTCGACGCAGACGACGTTTAAAAACGATTAGAACAGAACCACGAACAGAACAACAGAACTCTAGTTACAGGCTATTAAACGTTTGTGAGTTTGACAAGTCTAGTTACATTGGCTAGGTCTAAACTTAATTCTACAATTGGCTGTGACTGTGAGTTAAGTTAACTAGCCTATGATCCTATAATTTTGTTTTGCAGCACTAAACTTAGCCACTTACAACCCTACTGTCACATCTTCAACGGTCTTCTGTAAGTTAACTTAGTTTGCTCTTACATAAAGAACAATTTTAACTAATTCAATTACCTCCTTCGTGACCGAGACCAGCGATGTGTTAGTTAGGTTAAACTAACCTAACTTGCCAAATGAAATAATCGGTACGGTATATCAAATAGGCTAATCTAGGCCTTAAGGCTTAAGTTATATAGATATTTATCATTTGAATGAGTGTAGGACAGAGACTAAAGTGCAGCTATAAGTTAATATTTAAGTTAAAATAAAGGGTTTAGGCTTACACACTTAAAGTTGATAGGACATTTTCCAGTAGATGACACGTCAACTAAGCTAACCCTGTTGAATAACCAAAATATCGCATAATATTCCTAAAGTTAATAGCCTAGGCCTAAGATAGTGTTAGGCCTATCACAAACAACTTTAAACCCATCAACTATACCAATATCAAAGCTTGTGTTAGCTTAGCTGTACCAGTAGATGCCAATGACAGGCCTGTAGGCCTAAACTATTTGGCCTACCTTAGGCATATTACTCTAAAGTTTCAAAAGTGATTTATAATTACCATATCCCCTAACATAGCTCTAACTTAAATCAGCTTGGGAGACCGAGATGAAATTTTTATTTGATCATCCTTGTAACTTACCTAGTCCAACCAAAGCCAAAGCCATAAGAAAAAGAAATAGGCCTAATGAGTTTTTAGTTTAGAGGTTTTTCTTTCAACGGTTAGGGTGAAACTGTAGCTTCACAAGATTTTTTAAACACATTGCTCTACTGCCACTGTTACTGGTAGACTGGTATAACCTTTTAAACCTTAAGGTTAAACCTTATCAGAATTTTTGTTTACTAGGCTACTAAGTTAGTGAGCTTTCTGGACGGCCCTGCTTTCTGTCAAGTAAATCTTGCATTTTCCTTTAACTACTAAGTAGCCTACTAACCAACAGAACAGTCAGAGTTGCGAGAAGATAAATTATTTTGAACTACAAGGCTAAAACCGGGCTAACTTACCTAGTTTTGAAATGCGAATTTTTTTAGAATAGGATAGGCTAGGAGTAGGACATTGGACGGATTGGTCACGGGGCTAGTAGGTTAGGGCTATAAAAAACGACTCCGGTTTGATTGTAGGAATAGATTTTCAATTAAAATCGTTTTGGTTTAGAACACTATATGTTTTATATTAAATATTTTAATGGATTTATAATCATACATTTAAATTTAAATAAATAATCCGTAAATTACTGAGCTGGTGTCACTTGCTTTCCATGTTATCTTATGGGACTTCCGGGGTTGGACAGCACCACTTGCAACGTTGCCAATTCTACAAGGCCGCGGCCTGTAGTTAAAGGCGGCCGTGGTGTCGGCGTCGGCTGCTTCCAATCCAAACAAAATGTAAACAAAACAGTCACGTGACACAGCACCACTTGCGACGTTGCCAGTTCGATGGCCGCGGCCTGTAGTTAAAGGCGGCCGTGGTTCGAGTCAGCAGAGTCACTAGAGTGTACGTCTGTACGAAGAGAACAGGAATAAAAAGGAATAGAAAAGGTTATTGCTAAATTGCTATTCATTAAAATCATTTGGTTCCGGTTCGGCTCGGCTGATTTTGATTTTTGGCTCGGTTGCGTCGTCGTGTCTCTATTGTGCTTTCATCTTTTCTTTTTTCGTATTTAGTTTCGTTTTCGAGTTGTTTCATCTTTCATCTTTTCATGTTTTTTTTGTAGTTTCAGTTTCAGTTTGGTTTTGTTGGTTTGACGCCGGTTCGGGATGTGGTGATTGAGTCAATCAATCATAGTGTAGTAATTTAATTTTATTTTACTCGTAAGGTGAAATTTTACTGCATTTCAAAGGTAGATATCGAATTCTAATGAAAAATCGATTTGTCGTCGGGCAATAAAATTTGTAGGTTTCTATAGATAAATTTAAAATACTTAAGAAGTATTGCTTCGGTTTACTGAATTTCACCGTAAGATCATCATGTCGGTCGCTTTCGTCCAAAGAGGGAGGCAGCCTCTTACCACGGTACAGATTCAAAAGGTAGGATAGCCTAATCAGTGAAATTACTTCTTAAATTATTAGATTAACTACCATAGGCCTAGGCCTATTTACCTATTTTTGGTTCATTGTGACTGCCCAGACAAATAACTTATTTTGTCTATTTATTTGTTTTATCTAAGTAGGCCTAGGCTAGTTTTCTTTTCCTGGTTGAACTTAAGTTATAACCAAATAGTTGACTTTGTCATCCTATGTAGGCCTATGTACCTTGCAAATTACGACAGTAAAAAGTTTCTGATATCTGATTTGACATAGGCCTAACTTACATTTGGACAATTACCCTAATGACTGTGTATGATTGTGTAGGCCTAAGCTAAACTACCGGTGGCTGCACTTAACTTTAGGTCCTACACGCATTCAAATAAAAATATTGATTGTTCGATTGTTTCATTCGATATAACTTACCGTTTGGTTTAATTCGTATGAGTGTAGGACTTAAAGTAAAGTGCAGCCCTACCGGTACTTAAATTGGCCAGACGGCAAACGTAATTTTAAGTTAGGCCTAGGCCTACCTACAGGTCTTGCTTTGTTCTGTTAAAGTTAACAGAAATACCTACCTACTAGGGATGAGCTTTGATAGGTTAACCATCCATGTTCACCATTGATTTTAACATAGACATCAACCATTGACTTATTGATCAGCTTGTGGGCTTCACTCACCTTATTTGTTAATCCAGGACTCGTCAAAATGCAATACATGAATACATACAATACACACATACACACACATAACAAATCGTCCTTTATGGATTTAACTTACTCCGACGTTTCACGGGACCAAGACAACAGTCGTGGTTAGGTGTTCAGCTCGTGTACGCGAGAAACCTAAAGTTTTAATTACCTGAGGAAGCGGGACGTTGTCTTGGTCCCGGGAAACGTCGGAATAAATCCATCAAGGGCGATTTTTTATGTGACAACAAAAAAATTGGTAAGTAACCTAACATTGATGTAAAATCATCGAACATCGACAGAAAAACAAAGATGTTTCGAAAACATCGACTATCGGTGCTCATGCCCTAACTTAATAGGCAGCCTACTTAATTTACCCTCTGTTAGCCTTTTATTGTTTTTGGATGTTCCAACATGTAAAGAACCAGGAGGGTGTTGGATGATTGAAAATGTTGAATCGAGTTATTTAACTTAGTAGACCTAAGTTAAGAGATTGTTATTTTTGTAGGCCCTAACTTACTTTGGTATTTTATGGAGGCCACCCTTATACGCTGAGGCGGTTATATTATGTTGGGTTATCATAAATATGTTTGTAGGACTTTCCTCGTTTCATTATGAATCGAACAATACCAGATTAGTCATACTTTCGCCTGCCAAATCCCCTCCAAGTCAGGTCGTTGACCGGCACTCACATCACCTCTGACACCGCCTGTATCTGGGACTGTGTCCTGAGTGATTTATTGCCGTGCTCTAAGCTAGGTAAGTTTTGTCGATCCATAATAGTAAGTGATATTCTTTTGAACGAAGCGAGGACGGGTCTAGCTTACGTAAACATATTTATGATAACCCAATCTAACATAACCGCCGCAGCGCACTGTATAAGGGTGGCCTCTGTTTCAACTCAATCCTCGCTGACATCGCTGCCTTCTGGGAGGCAGAACTCAAAAACCGCTAATCGTAATTTTTAGCGAATTTCCCATATAGGGAATAAGCTATTTTTTTTAAAGAGGTTGGCGGCCTCTTTTAACCTTGCATTTGTCCGTCCACATAGACTAAGCGCCCGTGCGTGGATCGTTTACAGCAAAGCAAGGAGGAGTGAGCCGGTACAGTACAAAGGTGAACTGTACTGATAAAATGTTATCGGCAGTGACCAGGATCCGAACCCACGACATCGCTGCCTTGGGCCCAAAGTCCGCGACACTACCAACTGAGCCACCGACTCACCATTCAAAGCCAATCATGTAGGCTAAATTTGGACAGAAAGTCAATTACCCTATGTAAAGTTTGATCTTTCCAATTCCAATGTAATTTAGTTATTTTTGGTCTCCAGTAAAAAAAATCCCTCTATAATGGGTGGCCTCTGTACCAAAGTAAGTTACCTACTGTTATTTTTGTAGGTACTTCCCGTAACTAAAGGCATTTGCTTGATCAAGGTAAAACTAATAAGTTAAGTAGGCCTAAAAAAAACTTAGGCCTAGGCTCTAGCTTATTTATTTTTTTCTATTTATCATAGCCTTTGACCCTTATTTTCTAATATGCCTACCTACCTTATTACTACTTCCAATCATTTGATACCTACTATAAAATGGTTTAGGTTACCTTTTGCGTCGAACGATCCTTGTGTAGTAAGTGATAACTACAGCTGTTTCATGCCGCTGGGGCACATCTTCAGGTTGTAGAGCGTCAAGATAAGAAGTGCCCCAGCGGCATGAAACAGCTGTAGTTATCACTTACTACACAAGGATCGTTCGACGCAAAAGGTAACCTAAACCATTTTATATTGCAATTTTCGATCCAGAGGCTAACCCATCATGATACCTACTGTTAAAAACACAGTGGAATGGTAAGGCTAGAAAGTAACCATCGATTTTGACGGGTTTCACCGAGTTTGTTACATAATTCAATGATTTTTTTCCATAAGTCACTTGTCAGTGTTGTAAGAAACATATGGGTGGTTACATTTTGGGTACCGGTACTTTACAGAATTTTTTCTCTTAAACGTAAGATTACCTTTAATAAAAAAACATTGGGATCTCCTAATTACAATCTTGCTTTAAGTTATTTATAAAAAAAATATTAAGTTTATATATTTAAACTAGCTGGCCCGACAGACGTCGTTCTGTCCTAATGTGGTTTTATGTCAAATGCTCGTTCATTTTCAAGATGAGCTCGTTCACATGGCTCAATCACGTCCTGGTTGAAGTTTGTTCGCTACGCTCACTCACCTTTAGGCTGGAGCTCGTTCGCTGCGCTCTTTTGCCTTCAGGTTAGCTCGTTTGCTACGCCAACTCTCCTCCAGGTTGAAGTTCGTTTGCTACGCTCACTCACCTTTTGGTTGCTAATTAAGCTGTTGTCATAAATTTAAAAAAATAGTGCTGCACCCTGTTGGTAAACCTATTAACTTTTTAATGCTATTGAACATCACAGAATCAAATTGTTTAATTGAACCAGATGTTAACATTCTTTAATTCCATTTAAATATGAGTTCTCATAAGGTTAACATGGGAAACTCCAGAGCCACTGGGGCGGAGCCCTTTTGACGGATCTGCACCAAACTTCACACAAAGCATCCTTGAATACGGTAATGCTTAATAATGCCTGAATGTTTCATTACAATCTGTCAAGTGGTTTCGGAGTCCATAAAGGACAAGCAAACAAAATACATTGGATTTTATATATATTAATTTTTTTTTGGTAGGAAACATTGAGGGAGAAAAATTCCACTCAATTTCAGAATGGCCCTTAAACAAACATAATATTTGAAAGGTAAACATATGATCAGGACTAACTTAAGTATGAACTTAAGCTCTAGTTCTCATCCAGCTTGCAAAATGTAGGCCTATTTCTTAAACTAATTTTGATCAATTACTGGTACTTAATACTACATCTACTCGTATAAACTTAAGTTAAATGTGTTTTGTACTTGATGCAATCTTTAATTCATTCTGGAACTAAGTTAATTTATAGATAAAGGCTACTTACAATTTTTACAATCCTAGGTAATTGAGCACTACGGCCGTGCGTAGTCATCATACACTAAACTGGCTAAACCTCATTTTCGGCCCTAGGTACGAAATATACTATTACAGGTTATTTTTGTTTCAGTTTTATTTTCAGATACTTTGGCCAAGTTTTTTGTCTAACTATAATGATATTACAAGCACCTACCTATTTCGTTGACAACCTATTTTTGTATTATTTGAGACCCTATAGGTTACAAAGGTTCATAAAATATTCTAAATTAAAACATCTGTTGTATTGTACATCTTTTTTATAGTTCTTTTAAACCTAAAAATTAAAATTTATAAACAAATATTTCAGGATAACCCTTGGGTCTGAGGAGGGTATGTTAGACCTCCAGACTGTTTTGCACAATTATAATAGTGGTAGCCTTTGGTAATTAAAAAAATGCTTGAATTTGTAAAATTAGTATTTACTAGATAACCTGTTGCTCGAAATCGAGCAAAACTGCAACTTTTAATAAATAATGAATAGGCCTAACAAAAAACCAAAAAACATAAACAGCAAAATCTCAATCATAGAGTCACTCTAAAGTAATTTCTATGACTCGTTATAGAAATGTGAAAAATATTATGTTGAAAATAATTATTAAAGTAATCTACGGAAGGGCTACAATATTTAAATATAGATCCGTTCTCATACTGCTTTGATTATCTCTTTTGTACTGTAGGCGGGTGCCCTCCATGAGAACGTAGATATGTCAACCACACACTGTAAAGTGAGCTTTTCAGACCTAATGTAGCAGAGCTAAATTATGTGCCCCAACCAAAGTCTCCGGTTGGGAACATAAGAGTGGATTTAACGAAGTATCTAGAACGGATTCACGTTTAACACTATTAATTTTTGAAAATAAAAAAAAACAAAAAACAAAGATTTATTTGGCCAGAGGGTGCTCTGTTTTCCGCTTTAAACTAGCTGGAGGAAGTCACTTATCTTGTCTCTTACTATGCACATAAGAATCTAACTTGACTCCTCGAAGCTCTCGTCCCAACAAATTTCTGCCACAGTTTTAAGAGATTGGGCAAATGGGTTGGCATTGTGACCCTATTTCCCACATATTTTTCATTGCATTTTTTGTTGAATTGTTTTACACGGCTGTTGGGTTCCAGAGTGCCAACGTCGTACTTATAGATCTGTGCGTATTCAGGATCATGACCTTCTTTAGGAATTAGATTACATACTCGGTGCTAAAACTTGTCATGGATCTTAAAATTGTAGATCCCCTGTGTGACCCTCTCGTCAAAATGAGCAGAGCTGACCATTGCAAAGGTGGAATTGAATTGATGAATTTTATCCAGATAATTTCTGGATCCAAGCCTCACAGCCCTGTTTTCAGATTGGGAGTTTCCAATAAGTCCCTGAAAGTATGGTGAATTCCGCAAATGAGGTCAACGCACCTTTCATTTGTGGCAACAAAGATTAAAAATTGAACTGTCTCGGCCAGTCCTTTCTTGCTTAAAATGTAAGCCACCACAATGTAAAAATGTAACATTCATTTGTCCAAGATTGTATGTATCACCACAGCGGTACTGCCACTCTGTAGTCTGTATCCGTCAAATTGGGAGGCTCGATGCAAGCGGTCTCGTTTGCGTTCCCTCCAGCCACTCACAGTTCTTCGTCTTACTGGTGGCATTTAATTTTAAATTTAGATAAAATACGAAAGTTAATCAATCAACAGAAAATACTACAAAGGAATTTTATATTACTGTATCATGTAATATACAATGTGTATTTGTAAATTACAGTAGGCCTATAATATGGTAATGTAACGGGTAACTGCACTGTGAATAATCACGTTCAAACATTCACTTAATCACACCGAACTGTAACCAAAACTACATGATAATTCAGTAAAATACGATGTAAGTTAAACAAATAAATTTAACTACCACAGTATTACAAACAATTTGTTGTCAGGTCTTGCTAGGAAACTGAAAAAGGGTTTATGAACCAGGCTTAGTTAACAGATGTTTAAATAAAAATATAAAATTCCGGCTTTGCTCTGAATGTAATAAGTCCTTCAGTCTGTGGTTAAACTTAAAAATTATTTCAAACTACATCCATATGTTTAGTTGTAAACAAAGGGAATTGAGTTTGATGGTTTGATCTAATGTCAACAGATAGCGCCACCGTTCCCAAACTTTAGCCCTTAACTGTAAGTGATGCCCTTTCTTAATATTCTGAGACGTATTTGCACATCTACGTGAAAATACCTTTAATTTGACACCTCAAACGTTAAAATCCGTCAAGTCGTTATCGAGTTATGACTGTGAAAAGAAAACTGCTTGCGTATTTATATATAGATTGTGTTTACACTAGGCCTACACTATATTTCAATAGTGCAAAAACAGTCTGGAGGTAGACTAGCATAAATTTACAACTTGATTCATTATAACCTAAACTTATAGCCTAATCTAACCTACCTTCAAAGGACTTAATACAGTCATGAATCCAAGTAAAACCCGACCTACCTACCTCACATGTCTTTTCTGTCATATAGGCCTACTGTAAAACAGAATTTTAAACGGTTTCAGAAGTTAGGATGGGTTAGGTTAGAACAGTGTCTTTAATTACTGTGAGATGAGTCAGAGGTAGATCCATAATCCTAAGAATAAATTACCATAACAAATCCTAAATCCTAGCTCATAACTAATAGTAATAGTTTAACTTAATTATGTTGCACATCTTTGGAATTTAGTTATTCAGGTGCTTAAGAACCTCTTCTACGGGTATTCAAATTTAGAGGCTGGAAATGTCTCTCTGAATCCACCCTTGGATGTGGTTATTGAAAAATGTTTTACATGCTGAGTTATCAATCCAAGGCGACACCGGCGTTGATTATTTTGTGTTGATGGGAATTCAATTTTGTTTTACATTTCAGATGTTGGATGAAAACAGCCAACTCATCCAAACGATACAAGAATATCAAAGCAAAGGAAAAGTACAGGAATGCATGCAGTAAGTATTTTAGAATATGAAAATAATCAACATCAAGTTAGATTAGGCCTAGTAAGCTTATTTTCAATAGCAGCTGTCAGAATGGAATCTGAAAGCAGCCTGGAATCAAAATGTCTAGGATGAGTTAAAAGCCTGCATAAAGTAGTTAGCCTACTTTAAGTATCCCTTTTAGCTAATTTTCAGTCCCTTGATCTGCTATCATCCCCTTACACCACAACCTCTACATATTCATTAACTTACCTACCTATTTATCATTAGCATTGTTTTACCTTTGGTATATGTTTTGGGTATGGTAGCTATATTGGGTATGTGTACATTAAGTGATAGGACTATGCTTTTATTTTTAGGTATCAGCAAGTTTTACATAGGAATTTGGTGTACTTAGCTTCCATCGCAGATGCCAACCAGAACATTCAGGCTTTGCTTCCAGTAAGTTTTTGTTGTTTTGTTTTATAATAACTATACCTACCATGCAATTGTTTTGTTTTATAATAAATATACCATGCAATTGTTTATAAGTCTAAAAGTTCTATATATAGATGCTTTTCTTGTTGGAAAATATTTCAATTGCATTAGTGGAAGTCTTTATGGTGACATGACGAGCTTAGTATTTAGGCTAGGCCTACTTACAGTGCTTTAATCTCATCTTTGCCTGACGTCAACGTCAGTGCTGTTTACTGGTATTGGCAACTAGGAGAACCATCCCTACTTAGTTCCTTGACAGCACTGTTGACTTGTGACAACTAGGAAAACATATCCCTACTCAATTCAAAACCACACATATCATAGCCTACCGTGTTAACAAAGTTTGAAACGATCAGCATTCAGTTTATTTTGGATGACAGTGAATCATTATAAGTTTGTTGTTCTAGACCTGAACAAAATACCATGGAGGAAAAGAATGGTAAATCATTTGACTCAATTTTGTGAACGTACTTCAAATCTGATATGTAGGTTTATGACTTTTCTCAGGTTCTTCAGGCTTCTGTGGCAATTCTGTAAACTAAGCCCAATCATTCAACATAGTCCTATAACATCCTTGTGACAAAATCACAAATAACCATTCTGAGACGAATTCATTAACTAACAATAATGTCTAGTTATAAATGTATCATACATAAGTATAAAGTCGACTTTCATCAAAGGTTTTGTGAAAATTAAAATATACTAGTGATGGTCGGATCCAGACATCGGACTACCGGATCCGCCGGATCTGAGCTAGAAACAACGCCCGCTCGGATCCAAAAAAAATCGGATCTTGGGCTATATCAGAGTTTTTTCCATTCTATTAACACAAAACGTCCTTTATAAAGTACAATTTATACATAAGAACAGGCGTTTTGTAATAGTGATGTATTTTAAAATAAAATACCCCCGCCACAGCAAACCTGCAGACTTAGCGAATTTCCATTTGTCTGATTGGATTTTAACTAAAATGTCTCCTTAAAAATATCACATTTATTCCCTATTTAAACAGAATTAGTTTAATGAGTATTTAGGTTTGCTGCAACAGAGAGGGTAAAAAGTTTTTTTCATGTAAAATGTTACAAGGTACTGTGGTTTAGTAAGAAATTAATGTATTTTCCAAATTTGATCAAAACATGTTCATAAACAAGCAAACTACAACAGTTGACTTATTCTCCATAAGAATAACATGGGAATTTTAAAATTACAATTTTTTTTTATTTTCTCCGTAGCAATTAGGCGCATAATAACGCTTCAATATACTAAATTATTTGTTTTTTTAAGCTCTACAAAATGGTTCTAAAAGAAATTTTGAAATTTTATGTTTTTAGGGTCAAAAATGGGAAAAACCTATTTTTACCCCATAAAACCCCCCATAAACCCCCGTTCCCATAGTCCGATCATGCTGGTTCGCGAACTCATTCAAGTTTATCCTGCCTTACACCTTCAAACCAAATTTGATCAAAATCGGAAAAAAATTACTCAAGTTATCGTGCGGATGGGCGTCCATATATAAGACTATCTGTGTCCATATAAAAGACTATCTGTGTACATAAAAGATAGTCAGATAAGACAGATAGTCTTTAAAATTGCCTACCCATATGTCATTGACGTCAAAATTTACTGTCACATTACCTAGCCATATGAATATTGCAATATCAACAAATACTGTGAAATTGCCTAGCCATATAAGTTATTTAAAAAACCCGCCCCCTGAAAAAAAATTACCGATTTTTTCAAGATCCGGATCTGATACGGACATTTTCTTGGATCCGCCTATCACTAAAATACACATATATCACTAATCACCAGGTGAAGTTTAATTGGATTGTAAAACTGATTTAAAAATAATACCTGTCTGAAGATATTAACGTGACATTATCCAGCCATTTATGAATGATTTAGAAATTGATTACAAATTTTTATCCAGAAGGTTATCACTTTTTCTGATTGTTGTAGCCGCCCCAGAGTATGCCTGCATCGCATCCCCAGCACAGCATGATGGGCCCAGGGCCAGCTGGGACCCCTAGTACAGATGGGGCCCCCACTCAGCCACCAGGGCCCAATAGCTTCCCTCAACAACCCAACTACAGGGGCCAGGGTATGCCTCCACAGAGTGAGTATGAGTTCTTGTTATACTGCAAATCATGACAAGGACCACTGAAACTTAATCAGTTACACTAGATTCCAATTCCGGACTTGCTGGCATTTGGAGAAAATACTAGATTACTGAGCGTCATCTTTGACTATTAAGTAGATGTTCCATCCAATTTCATTGCCAGTTTTTGATTCAAAATGAATGTAGTTCAGTTGAGCCACTGAGATAGTGTGCTGATGAAAATTGCTGGCTTGTGTTGAATAAGCATGCCAAATTTTATGCTGATCCGTTTACAGGTGGAATGTCTACTTCTGTGTCCAATGACTATCTAAAGGGCTGTAGGCCTAATGGAAAGGCAGAGTTAATAAGATCTTAATATTTATTGGGAAATTTGTCTAAGTATTCACAACCTCAGATTGTAAGGTGTACGGTGCACCGGGGTAATGGCTTTCACTCTAAGCAATCCCATACCGCCTTACAAATAAAAATGCTCGGATTCGCTCAAGTTAGCTGGGAAGTAACAATGGATCTGTTATCTTAATAAAGATAAGAGCCACTCTCCACAAAGGTTCAACAATGCCCTCACACTCATCATCGCTTTAATATTTACCTTAATTGTAAGCTGTATTTAATCCCGAGTATAAAAATGCCAGGCTTACTCACCAGTCTTCCTACGAATAAAAAAGCTAACATTTAATCCTAACTTCTAAGGTGCCAGGGTAGTACTTCTAATTAGTAAACACATTTACTATAAACCATCCTCTGCACATCTCCTCTGTATGTTCTGATAAGGAATATGTTAACATTACTTTCAACTATCCTTGGCACAATAGTACAGAGAATGTTGACAGCTGGTAGGGAACATGTTGACACATTTGCTATCAACCATCCTCGGCACACTTGTACAAAGAATGTTGACACCCGGTAGGGAACATGTTAACACATTTACTTTTAACTATCCTTGGCAAACTTGTACAGAGAATGTTGATAGCTGGTAGGGAACATGTTTACACATTTACTATATACCATCCTCGGAACACTTGTACAGAGAATGTAGACAGCTGGTAGGTAACATGTTAACACATTCACTATCAACCACATTTACTATCAAGTATCAACCATCCTCGGCACGCTTGTACAGAGAATGTTAACAGCTGTTAGGGATCATGTTTACACATTTACTATAAACCATCCTCGGAACACTTGTACAAAGAATGTTGACTGCTGGTAGGGAACATGTTAACACATTTACTATAAAGTATCAACCATCCTCGGCACACTTGTACATAGAATGTTAACTGCTTGGTAAGGAATGTGTGAAGGAAGAAGTTCGTAGGAACTTAGGATTAGTTTGGAAAGTTAAAATGCCATAACGTGTTTCCAAACATCTAGTATTTGAACATCCATATTGTAGAGTGAAAAATCCTGTGGACATTAATCACTTAGAATTTTGAATATACAGGTAGGCCTACTGAAAATATTTTAATGGATTCCTTGCTAAGCGCTTGGCACTATTCAGGTGCCTAAATGACTGGGTAGTAAAAGATAATTACAGGGCCGGATGAACATAAAAAAAAGTTTTATCTCTTCCCGCGACCCACCAGTGGACCGCTGGCAAGGCTTCAAAGTTGTTTTAACCTTAATTAATCATTTGGAATTTTGAATATACAGGTACTGAAAATATTTTAATGGATTCCTTGCTAAGCGCTTTGCACTATTCAGGTGCCTAAATGGCTGAGTAGTAAAAAATAAGTACAGGGCCGGATGAACATAAAAAAAAAGTTTTATCTCTTCCCGCGACCCACCAGTGGACCGCTGGTAAGGCTTCAAAGTTGTTTTAACCTGCTGTGTTACGGTTCAGGGCCAACAAACGCAGCAGGGCCGCAGCCTTATCGCTATCCACCGCAGCAGAATCCACAACAAGGATACCCGAACTCACAGTATTCTCAGGGTAACCAGCCTCCAATACCTAATCAGGTACCTCTTTAATATGTTACTTAACATGTTAAAAGTTGTTTGTAATTCTACGAAAAAATTAATTATTTAATATAAGACTTTTACAGTGTAGGTTTTGGACTAGCCTTTGGCTCGCTTGGGGCTCTGCCCCCAGGCCCCGATTGGTGGGTGGTGGCTTATTTAGCAGTACATTAGTTGATTTGGCAAAAAAAAAAATTGTTGCTGTGTGTGCAGCTACTATGTAGGCTACTATGTTAATACTATGTAGGCAACTGAGCAGAAGCCAGATTATCTGATTGGAAAAAGAATCCACTCTGCCACAAAAATCGCAAAAGCACTCTACATATCAATTAGATATCATTTCATTGTAGCTGACTTTGTTTTCAACCAAGGTTTGTGTGAAGAAGAAAGATTATTGGGAAAGAGATATTTCTTCTCAACCCAAACCTTCTTGGGTTAAAATTGCTGTAAATGACAGAGAAATATTCCTATTTTTTGTACAGTACATATGTAATATTAATAGTTTTTGTGTTTCTTGTTGCCAGCATCACCTCATTTTCATTTAGGTTAGCCTCTAGTGATATTTCATTAAAGAATCTGCAATCCTAAGAAAAGTTTGAAAGAGTTTTGGTTTTGAGATTCAACTGGTGAGTTTTGAAAAATTAAAATTCAAACATGCCAATTTTTTCTGCAATTTTTATTAATTTAATATATACTAGTGTCCCAGTTGCTCTAATTCGAGCAATTGCTAAGTATTACAGGCGTTATTTTAAAACGAATAACAGTCATAATTACTGATGACTTTAAAAGATTTGACTCAAAGATTATGGAAATACTCAAGATGTACCTAACAGATCGATATAACCAACATTTCTTGTAAATATCTTATCATTTTTCAAGAGCTGAACTTGTTTTTTAGTGTTTTCTACAAATAGCCTTACTCATAGCCGCATTAGGTTGTCCATAAAAAAAACATTATTACTATTTTTTCTCCTTGGTGGTGTTCTATGACTTTCCTATGTTACCATAGTTTGCATATCGGCTCTTTCAATGATTACTAAGAAATGCAGCACAGTGTTCATTGAGGTTTCTTTTTAGTATATCAATTTATCCAGCCTCTCTAGCTTTTTTCCATTGTAATATTTACGCCAACCCAAATTCAAATAGTAAATATTTCATTTCTACCAAGTCAGTAAATGTTTGTAGCAAACTGTTAAATTAGCAAACTTATTGACTGTTTACAATTGAAATATGTTCTTCTCACTTTTAATTTCTAACAACAGCTGGAGTTTTATAATAATTTTTGTTTCCCATGTTAATCTTATGGAGAAATACGAAACTTTAAAGGGCCCCAGGGCCTTACTCTCTAATTATTTCCCTAAAAATAAAGTTTCCTGCACAATTTCACGTAACACTCTTTTCAACGACACCAAAAACATGTCAATCGGTCCAGTAGTTTCGAAGGAGTAATTGTCACAAAAAACCTGCTTGCGTATTAAATAAGTACTAGTGAACCTGTGCGGCTCAATGCCCCGCAAAAAAACATACCTATGAATTTGGAAAACAAATTCATCGTGTTATATATTGACTCGACGTCGAAAATTAAATACAGTAATAATAAGGCCTTAGAAGGGAAGCAGTCCAGCCATTTTCTAGCTGTTTGCGTATCATAGTTAGTATATTTATATTAAAAAGTGTTCAAGTTCAAGTATGTTATATGGTAGTTTTTTTTTTAAGATTTTTAAAAACACATTTAACTAAACATTTTATCATATCAAACCAGTAGGCCTATGTACCATATTTTGAGGGTCATAAAATGCTGCTTGAAGAAAACACTTTTAAAAATAAACACTAAAAAACAATATTTTTATCACAAAATCACTTCCATGAATACCTACTACAAGTATTTTAGTCTTAAAGTTACCTTCAGGAATATTACCCTGGCCAGAATTTTCCGTAATGAATATGGGTATCCTATTAAAAGATGTAACCTTACTTAAAACAACATATATACAGGGTGTCCATAAAAAACGTTTCAGGACTTTGGGAAATGAATCCCCATACTAAAAGGAAGAAAAAAGTTTATGGGAAGGTATGTCCGAAAATGCATATTAACCCAGATATCCGCCATTTTGTTTTTTATACAAAAATATTTTTATCTGTGAAGTTTTTTATTCGACGATTATGAAATTTGGTATACATGTTAATATACACAAGACCTATAATAGAAAAAATAATAAAGTTGTTCCGATTGTAAATTTCAAAATGGCGGCCGTTTGAATTTTTCTAACTTAAATAACTCAAAAACGGCTAATTCTATGAAAAAATGTCAAGAATACTTTTTTTTAGCATTTTTAATTTCCTATCAAACGATACCAAGATCAAAAAGATCGGACAAAAGATAACTGAAATATAACGTTTTTTGTGTAAAAATAAGGCAAAAATTAAGGGTTCCTCTACTAACTTTGCCTTATTTTTACACAAAAAACGTTATATTTCAGTTATCTTTTGTCCGATCTTTTTGATCTTGGTATCGTTTGATGGGAAATTAAAAATGCTAAAAAAAAGTATTCTTGACATTTTTTCATAGAATTAGCCGTTTTTGAGTTATTTAAGTTAGAAAAATTCAAACGGCCGCCATTTTGAAATTTACAATCGGAACAACTTTATTATTTTTTCTATTATAGGTCTTGTGTATATTAACATGTTTACCAAATTTCATAATCGTCGAATAAAAAACTTCACAGATAAAAATATTTTTGTATAAAAAACAAAATGGCGGATATCTGGGTTAATATGCATTTTCGGACATACCTTCCCATAAACTTTTTTCTTCCTTTTAGTATGGGGATTCATTTCCCAAAGTCCTGAAACGTTTTTTATGGACACCCTGTATATAGTTGCTCCATGACTGAAATTGGTCTGGCTAAGAACAGTGCTGCTCTTTAATTAAAGTGCTTGTGCTGCAAATGCCACAGATAACAGAAATTAGCATCTTCCTATTAAAAAAAAATTAAAAGGTATTTAAGTTTGTTCCAGACGGGCAAATTTGTATCCTCAAAATCAAAATAAGTCTATATTTAAAAGTCAGTTGGATTTTCTAGATGGGTGTCTCCGCCTTCGTCTGTTTTCGAGGACCCACTCTTCTTCCCTTTGACAATTAATACTGACAATTAATTACCTAACTTGTCAAGTTCATGTAGTAATTCATTCATACTGTTAGTTTATAAAGAAAATTAGATAAAAGTTACTTGGCTTGGTGCTTTCATAACTGCAAACTCAAAATACACCCACAAGTAAAAAAGAATCAAGTTATTGGTTTAAAAAAAACTATGTTTATGTAAAAACATTATTCACATGAAGTAGGTAGATGATTTGTTTGATTTCTCGATCAACTGTTTCGTTTCTAATGAATTAATAATTCCAAAGATTTGTGATTTTAAATACATACATTATTATAGTAAAGTTTTCTAAATCATGGTAACCTAGTCTCGACTAAATTTTTCTATTCCCAGCATTAAAATAAAGTAGTGAGATCCATTATGAGTAAAATTTAAGGTACACAATCCTTGATTGAAATGTAGTAAGTATACATTAACAGCCATAATACAACAATTTAGTAGACTTTGACTATTATTTTCAAGTAACAAACACATGTTTCTGTAAATAAAAATGATCTCCCATGTTATCCTTATGGAGAAATACGAAACTTTAAAGGGCCCCAGGGCCTCACACTCTAATTATTTCCCTAAAAAGAAGGTTTCCTGCACAACTTCACGTTACGCTCTTTCCAATGACACCAAAAACATATCAATCGGTTCAGTAGTTTCGGAGGAGTAATTGTCACAAAAAACCTGCTTGCGTATTAAATAAGTAAGATAGATATAGATTACGCCCCATGTATCTTTATAATATGCCAAGGTCACAAGTCATCTGTCATCGGCCATCCTCTTTTTACTGTTAACATCTTCAAAACTTAAATATAAACATCATTAATTCAATTTGTCTTCCATAGAAAGGATTTGCCTTTCCATTAAATTTGCTAAGCTGCTATTCACATTATTGAATCCTCAACTAAATGTAAAGCTCTTAGGAACATTTTTTTAACATTCTATAGAGTTAAAACAAAAATTTTTGAGGAATATTGCAACTGTACACTGATTATTGTCTTACAACCAGAGATAAAATTGGAGTCCTATTTGAGTTTTTACTTTTGTTTGAAATTATAATTTTTAGTTTTATTTTTAGTTTGTTTTCTTGATGTGCAAAATTTCGGTTTTTGATCTTCACTAAATCATACTAATAAGTTGGTTTGTGTAGGCATTTTTGTTTATTTCCAATAAGATCTAAAATATTATTTGCAATGGTACAAAAAGCAAAAACCTAATATTGTTTTATGTGCGAATTCAACATTTAAAATTGTGATACAGAACAGTATAAACACTGTTCTTGTCTATATAAAGTTGACCTGAAGACAAATAGCAATTTGATCCTGATTTTTTAAAATTCAATATTCCCTTAAAAAGGAGTGTGATTAAGTGAGTAATTGAGTTCTGGTTTTCGGTAAACCTCTACTCTGTCTGAGACACCCGTCGCGTATTTCTTTTATAGGATTATTTAAATTTAATAATTCACACTAACTAATTGTGTTTTGTTCATAGGGCTATCCCAACTCTGGTCAGCCCTCTAGCTATGGTGGACCCCCTCCTCAGTCCCAGGGGCCACCGCCTCAAGGATATGGACCCGGGGGAGCTAACCCCCCTGCTAACTACCAACAACCCTCCCAGGGGTACAACAACCCCCCGTCGGGGTACCCTCCCACCAACACACAAGGCAGCTATGGCCCCGGCTACCAAGGATATCCAAGTGGTCAGCCACCGCAGTCAGCACCGTCAAACTACCCTGGGAACTACCCTCCTGCGGGACAGCAGGGTGCTGCTCCTCCCCCACAGGGAGGTTTTCCGGCACAGAGCAACTACGGACCTTCCACTGTTGCTTCACCTAATCCACAAACCTCTTACCCTCCCCAGTCCACTATAGCTCCATCGGCCGCCACTCAGACGTATCCTCCCACAAGTTACCCTCCGTCTACAACCTCCACTACCCCTTCCCAACCCTCTCAGTATCCTAGTTCCCAGTCGTATCCGGCCACTCAACAGACATATCCACAGGGCTACCAGCAAGGTTATCCAGGACAGTATCCTGCCGCAGGTGCTCCGGGCTATCCCTCTCAATATCCGAGACCCCAGGGACCCCCCACTCCTGGGGCACCCCCTACACAACAAGGCCAATACCCTGGATACAATTATCAACCGAACCCTCAGTAAACTTGGTGTATACATTTACTTAGGTACTTTTATTTAAATGTATGTTTAACGTAGCTTTTATTTGTCCTATCTATTTTAGTGCATGTGTTTGTGTTTTTTAAACTGATGTTTTAGTTTAAATAAATTATTGACATGTCATTTTTGAGTATTTTTTTGCCTCTAGTTTTATTCATATTACTCTTTCATGGCTATGCTCTAAAGACACGGATTAATTGACAGTCTACTGATTGCAGAAGCTTACGTTCTGACTTTTGCTGTTCGTCTGTTATTGAGAAATCAAGTGTCTATATTATGACTTTTTGAGTTGAACAGTTTTGAAATAGTCTCCCTTTTACTTTTCATGTAGTATTTTGTCTCTTTAATCTTACAAGCTGTTCAGCCCATGCTTCGCAATGGGGCAAGAATACTTAAGAGAATAATGTTGGTCTCCACTGTAAGAAAACTGTTACAATCACTTACCATGCAAATTATACAGGCAAATCTCAATCTCACTTGAGGCCCGTTTTGCCAGAAGCGTCTCGTGCGTCTATCGCTCAGCGATTATCGCTCCGCGTCTATCGCTGCCCACTGCTTTGCATTGCTTTAGGTTAGTCTATTTTGCCAGAAGCGTCTATCGCTACAGCCGCCAGCGTCTGTAACTGAGACGCTAGCGTCTGACGCGGACCACTGCTCCTGGAGCAGACGGAGACACAGTCGCTAGCGATTATTACTGGAATACGCGCGTGTTTAGCTGTTGACTTAACTTTTGTTTCCTTAAATAAGTTGTGTTTTTAAGTTTAGTGACATGTCACAATCAAAGTGGGGATTCAATAGTGAAGAAGATGAAAAACTGAAAAACTAGATGAAACTAGTGAAACTTGGTCTCATCAGAGCGGAGGTGATTTTCAATTATCAATTTAAAATATACCTCTTCAGGTATCTTTAAAAACGTACACACACTTCTTCCCTAGGTTTGCACAACATTTCTAATATCTCGTCATCGTCTAATTCCTCAGCTAACTAATACTTTACTATTTGCTTTTTACAGCTCATTTTTAGAAACACTCCTTTCGCCACCAAAGTAAACCACTCACTGATAAAATAATCGCAAGGAACAGACGCTTCTGGCAAAATAGGCTCGAGCGATGGACGCTGAGCGATTATCGCTGTAGCGATCATCGCTGAGCGTCAGACGCACCAGACGCTTCTGGCAAAACGGGCCTGTCTTGCTTATTTTAATGCAACCTTGTGTATTTGCATTAAACTTTGTGGCAGGATCAAAACTAATAACTATATCGTAATGTAGGTATCATTTATATAAGAATCAAAGATTAATTTAGGTAAAAAGAAAACAAACTACAAATCCTATATTCTAAAACAAGCATGTGTACGGGCAAACTTTTTGTACGAGGATATCTGATTTTAGCAAATTTCCCTATAGGGAAGTAGCTATTACTGTAGGTGGCACGGTAAGACCTAGGCCCGGGATTGATTTACTTTTTCATTTTGACGTCCCTAGAGGCCAAAAACACTATTCGTTCAAATTGTTATACATGTTTTATATATAAGAGTTATATGTGTGTCCGTGAACACGATGACCTAAGTAATTTTTTGTTTGGTTTTTATGAAACTAGGCTTGAAGGTGTATGGTGGGATAAACTTGAATGAGTTCGCGAACTAGCAAGATCGGACCAAGGTAATGGGGTTTAATGGGGGGTTTATGGAGACAACCCTAAAAATATAAAATTTCTCAATTTCTTTCCGAACCATTTTGTAAAGCTTAAAAAACAAATAATTTAGTTTCTTGAACAGACTTTGATAATTATTGGCTACGGAGAAAAATCAAAAAATTGTAAATTTAAAATTACCATGTTATTCTTACGGAATATAAGTAAACTGTTTTAGTTTTTAGTTTGCTCTTTTTTGGATATATTTTTTGTATATTTTTTTCTTTCACTGTGTGATGAGAATGTATCTTACAAAATAGGTCACAAAACGGCAAAAGAAAAAAGTATCAAGTTTACTTTAAACATACATCTGCGGCAAAAATTGAAGAAATTTATTCTATTCAGAAATTTTTAATGTGTAATATAATATGTTTTAGTTTAATGATGGGATTAAAATTACAAATATTGTATTTTCTATCCTTTATTTGCTATTACTGATTATTTTACCATATATAATCTGATAATATCAGTTGTCTAAAAACCTCCAAAATCAAATGTAGTGAATGTGTAGTTTTAAAGAGTTCACATGTGTTATTTTCTGCAAGAAACAAAACAGACAATGTTTAGAACAACAAAAATTGTTTGGCATGCGTTAGCAATGTTTTATCTCTATATATTTCAACAAACCAGCAACTAAAAAGGTGCGTTTAATAATAGTGAGTGTATGGACTGTGTCGGCTTCTGCCAGTTGGGAGTGGGGGGGAGCTAGACCGAAAACAGTGCCATTGAGAGCAATCCAGTAGTTCTTTAATCTTTGATCTAACCTACAGAGACAGACAGCTGTGGATAGGATCAGTGGGATTGATGGTTCTTAAAACAGCTGTTTTTACTTCTTTTCCATTGATTCAAAAATTTTCCAAATTCAAATTGGAATGAACCAAAGTTAAACTTTGACCTCTTCAATAGTATAAAAGTCTTATTTAACCCCGCCTTTCACATAGAAACCTCCAGTGCGTTCTCAGCCTGGGATTTACAGTACTGTTTTACATTACACTACCTGCCATGAATCACAACGGAAAACCCTCTTTTCACTGGCCCCCCTAAGCCTAGATGAACAGCAGCATATTATCTTATCTCTGGCCCTCAACACTGGAGAGCAAAGGCCCATTCTAACCGTAGAAAAGAAGAAGAGGACGAACTCAGCGAGCCCGAGTCATCCTCCCGGATGGGAGTTTAGTTCGCATGAAGAAAGGAAAACTTCAACTTAAAGACCAATATTTCTGCAATGTAGATTTTTTTTGCTTTGTCAAAAAGGAGTGGAGTAGGATCTAATAAAACTGATTTAATTATTTCAAGCAAAATGATTTTGTTTTTTAGTTTATCTTAAAGACCACACTGTCATGTGAGAGAGTCAAAAACTAATTTCTTGAGAAAAGTAAAAAAGCCAGTTTTTTTTCGAAGCAAGGAAAAGTGTGAGGGGTCCACGTCCTAAGTGTTCTCCCACACAAGTCCAGCGGGAAACCGAAAGTCCATTGGGTGCAGTGGAGATACAGGAGTGTATCGGAGACAGACCGTTAACCCAGCAGAGCCTATTTGTTGTAATTTTTCGATTGGTTCTATTTTTGTTAAATGTTTGTTACTGAGGAAATTAACTCATTATTCATACCCATAGTCAAATCGTGCTCGGTCCCTGGAAGGGTCAGTTGGTGCTCTCTCGTCGGGGAGTGTGTCAGTGTTGTGCAGTCATCGAAAAGAGTAAAACCTCGTTTCGTCGTCAGGAGGAATCCTCGATGCTGCAAGCTCTTGAGAATAATTGTAGTCCACCCTCCTGCTAGAGAAATCCGAGCAGTCCCCCTTCTTGCTAGATAAATCCTAGCATTCCGCTCTTTTGCCTAGAGAAATTGGAGCTGTCTTCCATCCTGCTGAACGTAAAACAGAAATCCAACCATTTCCTAGATAACGATGATCTATCTGAAACTGGTTAATAATTTTTGCCAGAACTGTACTGTCCTTGTGGAACAACTAAATACAACTGAGCCATCTATCCCCTCTTCTTAAACTGAAGACCTACTTCAGACCCCTAGATATACCCCCAGTCATGGCTGAATAAGTCACAACATTCAGTCTTGTTTCTTTTCACTTAGGATCAAATCTGTCCAATTCCTACACAGGTTACAAATTTTGGAAGAAAGAAAGCTTGTCATCAAAAAATGCATACTTCAAATTAGTACTTTTATACTCATGTTAGGCTAGTTTATGTCTTATATTTTTTATTCAGGCCCAACACAACCTTAGTCCTATACCAACCTAACATCACTTAATACATTTAGCTAAACGAAAACAACTTGTGCTTGTTGGAATGAAGGAAATCGGTATGACGTCTCCCGACGTCTGTGAATACTCTATGCCTGCTGACAAGCCTAACATCTCTCGACAAAGTTTTCCATCACTTTTTCACACACTTCCTGTTGAATTCCATCAATGGCACAAAAAATTTCCTCCTTCAGGACTTGGATTATTTGAGGATTATTGGCGAGAAAACAAGTGAGTTTAAATCCCAAAAGAAAGTAGTCACACGGTGTTAAATCGCATGATCTTGCTGGCCAGTTCCGATCACCATGTTTTGAAATTACACGTCCATCCAATAAGGAATCGTTTATGCAGCCAATTAATTAAGTCTCAAGCAGTATGGCATGTTGCGCCGTCCAATTGAAACCGCATGTTTCCAGGTCCATCTCCTCAAGCTCGGGCCAGAGAAACTCTCGTATCATTTCCCTGTAACGTTCACCATTTACAGTCAAAGCGTTTTTATCCTCGTTTTTAAAGAAGTATTGACCAATGACTCCATTTGCCCAAAACCCACACCAAACTGTAACACGTGGAGGATATAACGGGTTTTCTGCGATGACTTGAGGATTTCCAGTACCCCAAATTCTACAGTTTTGCTTATAACCACTTATATGAAAGTGTGCATCATCACTGAACAGCAGAGTTTATGAAAACATAACATTTTCATCTTGATTTCCAACCACCCAGTTTTACCGTTTTACGGGATCTCTTGGCTTGATCTCTTGTGCTAGTTGAATTTTGTAAGGGAACATGTGAAGGTCTTTTACCAAAATTCTTTGTACTGTCACTGTGCTCCGAGCTAGGCCTAACTGCTGACTACGCCGACGAATCGATGTACTTGCGTTGTCCTCTACACTATCATGTACAGCCTCAACATTATATTTTCAAGGGAGCGACCTGCTCAACTGCGCACTGATCTTTTAATGTCCAAAACTGAGCCAATTTCTTCGAACTTAGAAATCAATCTTCGGATAGTGCAATAATTTTTTTTAAATCAAATTCATAACTAAAAAAAAATACTTTTGCCCACAAAAAAAACGAAATATATAATAAATTCAATTGACTCATTTGGTGCATTGTCCCATCCGAAAATAGCACACAGCTTCCACACCGTTTCAGCGAAACATTCACCGTACCGGTACTTGTTACCGCACTTTTTAACTATGACCACGCGTTGATCCGTAGTGTAGCGGTTCATGACTACAAATGGGACATAATACTGATAACATCGCTATTAATTTGGGAATTCCTATTGAAATACAGATAAAGATAAGACGCTCTTGAAATCCGGCGTTCTTACTGGGACACGCGTTATATTACCTTTGTTGTTGCCTGAGTTCTTGTAGCTAAGATGTTTGAATACGACATTGAAACAGACAAAAGTGGAATCACAGCAATAAACCGGTAATGCTACAGAGATCAAAGCACCCGCCCGACCATAGACCAGGAAAGTTCAAACTACCCTCAACTAGCGAGCGGCCCAAATGGTACAACCAACCCCAGTCCAAGAAATGAAGCGGAGGAAGAAAGACCTCGCACCGTGACCTAGCTATATTAGCTATAAACCTAAGCTATATTTTACAGCAACACCTCAATACCTCTTAAATTTATTTTTAATTTTACTAGCCTACTTAATTATTATTTTGCCGGCCTTTGAAGTACGTTCTTGGATTAAGGTAAGGTTAGGTTAGCCCCTGGAGTATCCAAACTCCAAACTAAAGTCAGCAACAGATTGCTTTGAAGAAATTGCGTTTACT